CTTTCTTTCCCTTTTCCCTTTTCCTGGAGGCTACCGGGAGGGCATTCCCCCTCTCCCCCTACTTTCCCTTTCTCGTCCTTCATTTTTTTTTCCCTTTCCCTTTTATCTAGTCCTTTCCTTCTTTCCCTCCCTTTCCCCTTTTCTTGTTCGGGTTTCTAAAATATATTACCCCATAAATTTCCCTAAAATATTTTCAAAAAATGCTTTATCACCCTTCAGAAAAGTTGTTTGTGTGCGGGGTGGGGGCTTATAATTGTTTTGAGTCAGGAGTTTGGGGAGCTGTCAAAATTTACCTATTGTTCATTAGTCATGGGCCCCCACTGCCTGTCAAAACAATGGGGGCGGGGTGCTGCTTCCCCCCCCCTTTTATTTTAATTAATTATCTTTTTTCCCTCTTTTTATCTTTTCAATTGTCTCTCTTTTTCTCTCTCTGTCTATTCTTTCACAGGTTTCACATTTAAAAACCCAAAAATTTTATAGTGTAAATTATAGGGTAACCCCAAAAAAACCAGACAAAAATGCTTTTTCTCTGCTTTGAAGATGTTTGGGAAAGGTGATGATGACACAGTTTGTGGCTCTCTCTGAGACAAGTAGACGGTAGGGCAGGGAGTTTGGCAACGACAAATAGACAGGGAAAACAAAAAGTTTCCCCCCTCCTCCTTTCCCCTTTTTCCTCCTCCTCCCCTTTTTCCCCCCTTCTTCTATTTCTTCTTCTTCTCCTCCTCTTCCTCCCCCCTTTCCCCCTCCTTTTTCCCCTCTTTCCTCCTTTTCTTTCCTCCTCTTCCTCCCCCTCTTCCTTCCCTCTTCCCCCCTCCTTTTCCCCCCTCCTTTTTTTCCTCCTCCTCCTCCTCCTCCTCCTCCCCCTCCTCCTCCTCCTCCTCCCCGTTTTTGACAGATGGACGCTGCCCCCCCCTCCACCCTCGTTTACGCTCATCAAAGGTTTACCTTAAACCGAGGTTTTTCTTCCCCCTTTTTGTCACTGTCATGGGGTGAACTGTTTTCATGCCTCAAGGGAACATATTATTACATATTATTATTATTAGGTATTAGGTATTCTTCTTCTTCTTCTTCTTCTTCTTCTTCTTCCTCCCCTTCCACCTTCCCTCCCCTCCTCCTCCCCTCCCCCTTCCTCCTCCTCCCTCCTTCTTCCTCCCTCCCTCCTTCCTCCTCCTCCCTCCTTCTTCCTCCCTCCCTCCTTTCCTCCTCCTCCCTCCCACCTCTCCCTCCTTCTTCCTTCTTCCTCCTCCCTCCTTCCTCCTCCCCCCCCCCCTCCTTCCTTCCTCTTCCTCCTTCCTTCCTCCTCCTCTTCTTCCTCCTCCTCTTCTTCCTCCTCCTCTTCTTCCTCCTTCTCTTCTTCCTCCTCCTCTTCCTCCTCCTCCTCCTCCTCCATTGCTTTTGGTCTCAAACTCCTCGAAATCATGAAATTGATCTTCATTGACACTTCCATCGTGTTAGAGCATCACTTGGGAAGAGAAGAGTCCCAGATTTGAAGGGAAGTCACATATTTCTTACTGCTAGACATGCTGAAAAAGGACGACTGAAATGGTATTCCCACAATGCACCACTGGCTACCCGATTTTTTTTATATGGTGCACACTGACCATGGAGACCCATTCTCTCACATGTGGGCCTACCAGCTTTCTCCTGCTTGATTTGAAGCCGCTAGAATTTATGCGTATAGATATGTCAAACACGGTATCTCCTATGACGTACATATACGACCGCGACAGTCAAAGGGTTAATAAATGTATGAAAGAGGGGAAAGTACCTAGGGATTGGCAAAGAGCATGTATAGTCCCTTTATATAAAGGGAAAGGGGACAAAAGAGACTGTAAAAATTATAGAGGAATAAGTTTACTGAGTATACCAGGAAAAGTGTACGGTAGGGTTATAATTGAAAGAATTAGAGGTAAGACAGAATGTAGGATTGCGGATGAGCAAGGAGGTTTCAGAGTGGGTAGGGGATGTGTAGATCAAGTGTTTACATTGAAGCATATATGTGAACAGTATTTAGATAAAGGTAGGGAAGTTTTTATTGCATTTATGGATTTAGAAAAGGCATATGATAGAGTGGATAGAGGAGCAATGTGGCAGATGTTGCAAGTATATGGAATAGGTGGTAAGTTATCAAATGCTGTAAAGAGTTTTTATGAGGATAGTGAGGCTCAGGTTAGGGTGTGTAGAAGAAAGGGAGAATACTTCCCGGTAAAAGTAGGTCTTAGACAGGGATGTGTAATGTCACCATGGTTGTTTATATATTTATAGATGGGGTTGTAAAGGAAGTAAATGCTAGGGTGTTCGGGAGAGGGGTGGGATTAAATTTTGGGGAATCAAATTCAAAATGGGAATTGACACAGTTACTTTTTGATGATGATACTGTGCTTATGGGAGATTCTAAAGAAAAATTGCAAAGGTTAGTGGATGAGTTTGGGAATGTGTGTAAAGGTAGAAAGTTGAAAGTGAACATAGAAAAGAGTAAGGTGATGAGGGTATCAAATGATTTAGATAAAGAAAAATTGGATATCAAATTGGGGAGGAGGAGTATGGAAGAAGTGAATGTTTTCAGATACTTGGGAGTTGATGTGTCGGTGGATGGATTTATGAAGGATGAGGTTAATCATAGAATTGATGAGGGAAAAAAGGTGAGTGGTGCGTTGAGGTATATGTGGAGTCAAAAAACGTTATCTATGGAGGCAAAGAAGGGAATGTATGAAAGTATAGTAGTACCAACACTCTTATATGGGTGTGAAGCTTGGGTGGTAAATGCAGCAGCGAGGAGACGGTTGGAGGCAGTGGAGATGTCCTGTTTAAGGGCAATGTGTGGTGTAAATATTATGCAGAAAATTCGGAGTGTGGAAATTAGGAAAAGGTGTGGAGTTAATAAAAGTATTAGTCAGAGGGCAGAAGAGGGGTTGTTGAGGTGGTTTGATCATTTAGAGAGAATGGATCAAAGTAGAATGACATGGAAAGCATATAAATCTATAGGGGAAGGAAGGCGGGGTAGGGGTCACCCTCGAAAGGGTTGGAGAGAGGGGGTAAAGGAGGCTTTGTGGGCAAGGGGCTTGGACTTCCAGCAAGCGTGCGTGAGCGTGTTAGATAGGAGTGAATGGAGACGAATGGTACTTGGGACCTGACGATCTGTTGGAGTGTGAGCAGGATAATATTTAGTGAAGAGATTCAGGGAAACTGGTTATTTTCATATAGTCGGACTTGAGTCCTGGAAATGGGAAGTACAATGCCTGCACTTTAAAGGAGGGGTTTGAGATATTGGCAGTTTGGAGGGATATGTTGTGTATCTTTATATGTGTATGCTTCTAAACTGTTGTATTCTGAGCACCTCTGCAAAAACAGTGATAATGTGTGAGTGTGGTGAAAGTGTTGAATGATGATGAAAGTATTTTCTTTTTGGGGATTTTCTTTCTTTTTTGGGTCACCCTGCCTCAGTGGGAGACGGCCGACTTGTTGAAAAAAAAAAAAAAAATTCATGATGAGTTGGGTGAAAACCTATAGGGGTAATACAGTGCCTGGGAGAGTGGGCGGTAATTAGGTTCGATCCAAGAGGATTATTATTATGCTTAGCGCTAAACCCATAGGGATTATACAGCGCTTCAGGGGGATGGGATGGGAGGTATTCATTTGTAATTCATTTATTATAATTATAATCATGGGAGAGCTTAGCATAGGCACCACTCTGACTACATCTGTAAAAAACTTCCATGGGGAGCACCAAACCCGTAGGATTATACAGCACGTGGGGGGGGTGGAAGGAATTCAGGGGTCAATCCAGGGAACTGGAGCATAGATCTAATTCCCTAGATCAAGAGCCCTTCACCAGCATCAAATAACCTCCCTTGAACCTCCTTGGATCAAGAGTCCCTCACTGCTGATTCCCACCCTTGAAGGGTGGGGATCGACAGCTATACCACTGAGCTGCAAGCCATATGTAATAATAATGATATACTGTAATCAAATTAAGTGCTAAACCAAAGAGGATCATACAGTGCTGCATGGAGGGATGTATTCACCCATACACAGTTGCATGGGTTCTGTTAAAAAGTCAGCGACTGTGCCAAAAGTGGAAATTTCCACAAGGCCAGTGCAATTTGAGGGTTGGGGGTAGCAGAGACAACAGAAGTGAATTCTGCATGCTGGCCAGTAAGCTGGACAATCTAATAAGATATGCTGAACTGATAGTGCAACATGGCAGTCCTTGCAAAGCAGTGCCAGGTATTTTTCCATGAGGTATCCATGAGTGGGTCAAGTGTGGCTGATATGTAAATGGTAGAGTGTAAGTCACATGAAATAATTTAATAAGGGAGAGATTTTTTATTTCATTAATGAAGAAGCTTCAATAGCAAGAAAGCAAATTAAATCCATGGAAAAAGTGGAAGGCTCTATTTCCTTGGATTATGAAATTTTTATTGGCATTGACACCTTAATAAATAAGGAGGCGAGATTATTCATGGGGGAAGCATTAACCCCATAAAGGTCACAGTGCATTTGGGAATGGGAGGCAATGTTGCTTTATCCAAGAAAGAGTTTGATAGGTCTAGAACCCCTCATTGGTATCCAGGAACCTTCCTCTAAGGGTGGTTTAATCCAGTTTGATAGATCTAGAATCTCTCATTGGTATCTAGGAACCTTCCTCTGAGGGGTTATCTGGTTAAATTCATCATTTTTCATCAATTAGTTAAGAGGCTTTTGTCTGTCCCTGCATTAGACCTGACTTGCCTGGTCTCTGATACATAGATACATTAGCTCTTCCCTCTAAAAAACCCAAGTGGCTGTTGTAGGAAAGGTAGGTAAACACAGTGCCACATCACGGGGGCGTTGATCCCCGAAACCTTCTCCAGGGTTTCCCTTTCTGCCCAGCTAGTCTGCTGGGCAAAAAGGTAATGATCATTGCAGTGGGGAAAAAAAACCACTGGTGGTTTAGGAAATTTAGTTTGGTTGCTATGAAACCTCACAGCCACCATATTAATAATACATCATCAATATTTTGCAGTATACTTTATTTTTAATACATGTGTAATACAATATGTTTAATCAGTCAGCAAGATGAAGGTTAATGAGAAAAACTTTCACTCATATTTGACAAACTTATGAATACACATCTTGTCTTCACAAATGCCTCTCACCTTTAGATCAAAAACCACTTTGCAAATGCAATGTTTAATAATAGTAAAATTTAAATGCACAAAATTAAATTACATCCCTCTTACACAAAAATTTCCTCCTGACTTATAAGCAAGTTTATACAGCACATCCATGAAATAAAATTATGTATCTAGTGACTAATTATGAGAAGTGTCCTAATCTATAGCTCCATAACTTGGTATATAAAATATAATTACTACAGTACAGTACACTATATAACATTTCTTTAATAGTTTCTCTGTTTATGTATACTATAACTTAACAAATGCAAATATTGCAACCTTTCCACAACTTGTTACACTGAGACATACAGTACTGTAGTCAGTACAATACAAGGAATGCATTACAAGAGAAATTATGGGATGGTGAATTCAAAGGAATGGTACATATTTTGGATCAGAGTATAAAGGCTGCCCAAAAATGTTGAAAAAAAGCAATGCTGAAAACTCAGAAGGCATTACAGTACAGTACAAAAAAGGCAATCTTAATTTTATTCAGCCTTTCCATAGCATCTGCAATAGTTCACTATCAAATATTATATATTATAATATACTCTCCTCTAGTTTTGTACTGACAAAATTTCCTTAACTATTCTGAAGTGTAAAAATTTAAATTTTAATGGTATTGGGAAAGACTGACTTCTATAAGAAAAAGTAAAGAAAATAAATGTCTAAGACAATCAGGTACTTGAAAACTCAAAACAATCTAACATTTACATATATTGATAAGGTTTTTTATGTAATTGACTATTACAGCTGTAAGTATGAGATATTGTTAGTTTTATATAAAAGTAAGCAAATGCATTAAATATTGTTCCTTAAGCCCAAATTTATTTTATCTATAAACACTTCAGTTACTGTTCTTATTGAAAGACTTTTAATAAAAGTCTAAAGCAAGCTAGCTATGCCCTTTCATTTAACAGAAAAATTTACTAAAAACATCTGGTACTTTCTTTAAAAATAACTCCTTGTCTGCATTCTCAACAACCTACAATGAAGAGAAAGTGTAAATATTGCATGGAAATTTTTTTTTTATATACATTATATTTACAATATATACACACAATACATTAGATACCTCTCACTAGGTAGGGTGACTGAAGAAAGAAACATTTTCACCATCATTCACTCCATCACTGTCTTGCCAGAGGCATGCAAACATTACAGTTCAGATGCACTTCTAAACTGCAAATATTCTCACCTCTCTTTTAGAGTGCAGGCACTGTACCTCCCACCTCCTGGACTCTAAAATCCAGCTATCCAGTTTTCCTGAACCCCTTCACAAAATGTTACCTTACATATAACGCATCCCTGTCCAAATCCTACTTTAACAGAGAAAGGGAAAGTGTCGTTTCAACAAAGAGTGCAGGTACTTCCATCCAGTAATGTGTAAAGCTTCAACACAGTCCAGAGAATGTTATGACCTGAGCTGCCCAGACCACCATATAAAAGGAATGTGGTGCTACAGAGAAAGCAGAGAAAGGGAAAATGAAGAGAAATCTTTTTTAGAAAGAAAGAGAAACGATCAAACCAAAGAAAGACAAAAAGGGGGAGTGGTACAGAGAGGACAGATGGGCAGCAAAATGGGACTTACCAAACCAGACATTAGCCCATCAGGGCTGAATAAACAACCAAATTCAGTTAGTACTGGAGAACCCAGGGGTATGTACACCAGGGACCATACCAGGTAATACATCACCAGCAGTACTAACAAAACACAAAGCATGATGAAACATCCCAAATGATAATTCCTGCTTCATATTTGCAAATATTCAAGGTTTGAAATCAAATGAAAACGACAAAGTTAGTTATGTCAGTGGGCTCCTATCAGAAATGAATGCCATGCTTGGAGCATTTACAGAAACACATACAAGGGATGTTTTCGACAGAGAGATAAAGATAGAAAACTATAACAGTGTTCACATCGCTGTTGGGCCGTGCGGACGTGCTGCACAGTAGCTCCTGATTGAGTTGGCTTTTGCGCAGTGTTGACGTGTACTTGGCTCTGTGAAGACCTGTTTGCGCGCTCTCTAGAATTGAAGCAAGATGCCCTCCATCGAGCAACTTTACCAACAGCTTAAGGAAGAATTGAGGATGGCGAATATGGAAATTCAGCGACTGACCGAGGAAAACAAAAAGATTCGTAGTAGTCCTCCTGTTTTGAGTCCTCAGGTCAAGAAGGGAAACTGGTCAGTGGCTGGACAGCAGGGAAAGAAGTTGACGATCAAGAAGACGAATGGAAAGGTAGAAACGATGAAGAAGAAAGAGACTGCCGTGGAAACTGTTGTGGAAACATCCAATACATTCTCAGTGCTACCCGACGAATGTGAGTCGACTACTGGGAACGTCACGACGAACGACACCAAGGAAGGTACGAATATTGTTGTTGTTGGGGATAGCCAAGTTAGGTATATGGATAGGGCGTTCTGCTTGAAGGACAGGAGTAGGAGACAGAGAGTTTGCTTTCCTGGGGCTGGGATGGAGGATATTGTTAGCCGTCTGGATGACATCATGAGAGGTAATGGGAGCAATCCTATTATCTGTCTCAGTGCTGGAGGCAACGATGTTGGCAGACGTAGGAGTGAAGACCTGATTAGCAGGTATAGGTCAGCAATAGAGATAATTAGGAGGAAGGGTGGGAACCCTCTCATATGTGGTATTTTGCCAAGGAGGGGAGTTGGAAATGAATGGTTGTCCAGGGCAATTGGTGTCAATTGCTGGCTGGACAAATACTGTAAGGAAAATGCGGTAACATTCATTGACAACTGAGACCTCTTCTATGGCAGAAATGACATGTATGCCAGGGATGGGGTTCACTTATCTAGGTGTGGGGTGGGAGCACTGGCAACTGCAGTGGAGGGAGCAGTTAGGACTTTAAACTAGGAGTAGTTAGTGGTATGGGTTTTGGCAGGAAAACAGTGAAGTCCCAGTGTAGTAATATTATGAGTTCTAGGGGAACTAGTAATAATAAGAACGAGGTAGATATTGAAAAGCCAGGGACTTTGGGTGATAAGGACAGTAATAGGTTTAGTACAAAAATAGAAATGAGCAGGAAGGGTAAAGAGAAAGGAGAGTCTTTCAATGTTTATTATGCTAATTCCCCGTAGTGCTGGAATAAGAGGACGATTGAGATTAGTTGCTAGTGCAGGTAACATTGATGTATTTGCCTTAACTGAGACGTGGTTTAATTCAAAAGTCGGGACATGCCTGGGGAAATTTGTCATATTCAGGGTTTTAAATTGTTCCAAGAAGATAGAAGTTTTGGGGAAGGGGGGGTGGGGTGGCATTGTATGCCCGAGATTGCTTGAACTGTTTCATAAAAACGGGTATAAAGTCTGAAGTAACACATACAGAGTCTGTTTGGATAGAATTTTCAGAGGGGCATGAAAAACTGATTTAGGAGTGATTACCGTCCCCCAAACTTAGATAGGGCCCAAAGGGGAAATACTAGGGGAGGAAAATTGTTAAGGCACAAGGCACGATAATGTAGTAATTCTAGGAGACTTTAACTTAGTCATTTTGATTGGAATTTTCTTGACTGGGAATTTAGAATCATACGACTTCTTAGAAGTATTTCAGGATTGTTTTTTGAAGCAGTTTGTGACAGAACCTAAAAGGGGAAAAAATAACCTGCTTGATTTAGTTATGGCAAAAACAATGAATCCCTTGTTAATAATTAGAAATTTCAGAGGAACTGGGTGCTAGTGACCAAAAAATCAATTACATTTAGCATTGAATGGAAGTATGATAGTAGCTATAACTCAGTAACAGTCCCAGATTTCGCTTAGCAGATTCGAGGGCTTAGAGAACACTTATCATCTGTTGACTGGGGTAACGAAGAGAGCTATCAATATGACAGTTTTTGAACACTATACATGCTGCTCAAAGGTGTTTATCCCATATAAAGAAATTAGATCAAATAGAAATGACCCAAAATGGATGAATAATAGCTCAAATATCTACTAGGGCATAAGAAAGGAATTTATAGGCGTATCAAAAGAGGTGAGGGTCATCTTATGAATCAGTATATTGACATTAAGAGGGACTTTTAAAAGGGGGATAAGAAAAGCTAAAAGGGACTATGGAAATTAAAGTTGCTAGGGATTCTAAAACTACCCAAAAAGTTTTTCCAGGTCTATAGAACAAAAGTTAGAGATAAGATAGGTCCCCTTAAAAATAACTATGGGAAACCTTACGGGCAAAGAGAATGAAAGTGCTTGATTTTAAATAATTATTTCTCTCAGTTTTTAACAGGAAGACACTAACAATTTTCCCAGTAATTAATTTTTACATTTGGGCTAGAAGAAGATAAATTATGTAACATCACAGTCACTAGTGAGATGGTTGTGAAGCAGATAGACAGACTGAAGCAAAATAAGTCACCGGGCCCTGATGAGGTTTTTTAAAGGGTTTTTAAGGAATGCAAAATGGAACTCTGTGAACCATTAACTAATTTTTTTAAATTTATCTCTTCAAAAGGTGTAGTGTCTGATATTGGAAGATGGCTAATGTAATTCCTATTTTTAAAACAGGGACAAGCCCGTTACCGTAAAATTACCCCCCAAATAAGCCTGACCCCCAATTGTAGCAAATTACTAGAGTCAATTATAGCTGAGATTAAAGAAGCCATCTCGATAAGCATAGCTGATTAATGAACTCAGCATGGATTCAAAAGAGGCCGGTCTTGTCTAACTAATTTATTAACTTTCTTCAGAAAAGCTTTTGGGGCTGTTGACCACAATAAAGAATTTGATTTATTTACTTAATTTTAGTAAGGCTTTGATAGAGTTCCGCCCCATAGACTGTTAAAGAAAGTGGCAGCTCATGGCAATTGGGGGGAAAAGTGCTCTCGTGGGATCGAGTCATGGCTCACTGACAGGAAGCAGAGAGTGTCCATAAAGGGGGTTAAGTCGAGTGGGGATTTTGTAACAATGGCGTTCCACAGGGATCAGTCTTGGGCCCGTTGTTGTTTTATAATATATATCAATGATCTTGATGAGGGAATTACTAGTGATATGAGCAAATTCGCCGATGACCCCAAAGATAGGTAGGATAATTGATTCAAAAGTAGATGTTTTGGAACTTCGGAGGATTTAAACAAACTCTATTCTTGGTCAGAAAAGTGGCAGAAGCAGTTCAATGTAGATAAAAGCAAGGTTCTGAAGCTTGGGATTTCCCATAACCCTAGTACTTATAAGTTAAATGATGTAGAAAATTAGCCATACAGATTGCGAAAAGGACTTGGGGTTATGGTGAGCAGCAACCTTAAACCAAGACAGCAATGCCTAAGCGTACGTAATAAAAGGGAAAAAATTACTGGATTTATATCAAGAAGGTAAGCAACAGAAGTCCAGAGGCATACTGCAGCTCTATCATCATTTAGGCTCCCTAGATTATGCAGCTTTAGTTCTGTCTCCGTATTACAAAAGGACTAAATTCGTTAGAAAAATTCAGCGTAGATGACAAATTAAAACAAATTAAAAATCTCCCCTTTTGAAAAAAATTGAAACTCTTAATTTCATTCACTTGTTAGACGAAGAATGAGGGGAGCAAAAATCAAGTGTATAAGTGGAAGATAGTATTTAATAAGGATATTAATAAGGTCTTGAGGATGTCTCTCCAAGAAGAACCCGCAGTAATGGATTAAATTAGATAATTTAGATTAGAAAGGAAAGGAAAGTATTTGGTTGGGAAATAGGTAGTTTATGAGTGGAACAGTCTACCTAGTTGGGTTATGAGGCTGGGACTTTGGGTAGTTTCAAATCTAGGTTGGATAAGTACATGAGTGGGAGGGGTTGGATTTGAGTGGGACTTTCACATCAGAGCTTATTTCTTGGGTGGCATTGAAAATTGGGTTGGGCAAATGTTTTGTTAGTGGGATGAATTGTAAAGGACCTGCCTAGTATGGGCCAGCAGGCCTCCTGCAGCATTCCTCCTTTCTTATGTTCTTATGTATAGATGTGATAGAATTAATAGGTCACAGGGAGG